ACCCCAGAGGTGAGGCTGAGGGAGGGAGGTGCTTCCCATTTGTGCCACATTGAGTATTACAGAGTCACCCGACACTCTGCGGACAGCAATGTTTAACAATATCAACTTATCACTTCCACAAATCCCTCCTTCCCCCAGCCATCAATCCCCTTCGTTTTACCGGGCTGGAGACTTTGGATTCATCTGCGGCTGCTTCTTCCAGCTGAGCAGCGACATGAGCTTTCATTTGGGAGAGGGTGTGTTGTGGGGTATGTGCAGATTGAGCTGAGGACACGTTTGGAGACAGATTAAAAACAAAATCAAAGGGGATGAAATCCAGTTTTCATTCATCGTGGGCTGGAATGAGATGAGCCAGTGAGAGAGCCCTTTATCTGCTTTATAGATGTGCATACGTGTGTATTTCTCTGTGTGTGTGTGTGTGTGTGTGTGTGTCTCTCTCTCACACACACACACACACACACACACACACACACACACACACACACACACACACACACTCACACACGTGATGCATATTGCTCTATATGAACATATTTGTTTACTGACTCTCGCAGGTCAAGGTCAGAGTTGGCCAAGTCTGACTCCATGACCAATCATGGAAATGAACCATCATTTGCTTGCAAAAGAGGAAGCTTTCATCTTAAACATGAATCTCAATAGAGAGTGACACAATAGGAAAAGAAAGCCAAGAAAACTCCATGCTTGAAAAATAGCAACGACCAGATGCTAAGGATGATGCAGATTAACTGTTGGGAACATGTTGTAGTAATAGTGACTTAAAAACCAGTGTAGGCTTTCCATTGGCATCCACTTTGTACTTCAGTTTTAGAAGCCAGGACAACATTTTCGTTTTGGCTTTGTGTGGGTAAGGGCACAGGGTTGTTCATTTTTGAAGCCCCGTGAACGACAACAAGCGGACTGCGTTTTTCTTTCGTGCTGCCTACAAGCATCTCCCCTTCCAGAATCTGAAAGTGAAAGGGTTTTGCTGACCAAGGCTGTGCTGTGTTTCAGAGGTTAGCATATGGAGAGGGGGGAGCAGATTTGATGCTGCTGAGATGTTCACGTAGTCTCTAAGTAGGGCACTGTGTTCTGTGTGGCAGCCAAGTGAGTCTAGTTAGGCATCAGGGGATGTGTCTGTGTTGTTGCTGCTGCTCTCAGAGGAAAAGCTGGCTGCAGTAGACACCGTTTTCTCTAAAGTATACATCAAAAGTCTAGCGAGGTTTGTTTCTCTGTGTGAATTAGTGACAAGGAGGAGGGGACTTTGTTCTGTTTGTCACCCCTGCAGGACAGGTCAAGGACCCATCAGAATCGCCGCAAATTAGGACTCCTCTTTTCCTTTCCCTTTTGGGGATAGGTCTCTCTTCCGGGGGGAGAGTCTTAGAGCTGTGGGCTTGTTAGTCTGCTGTCAGATAACAGACCTCCCGCAGCCTTCATATTGTCAGGTTCTTTGCATGGCTGCTGTAGGTTTCCAGTGTAGGTCTCAAGAGGTGGGGAAGAGTAAAGGTGACAGTCACTGGCAGTGAACACAGCCACGGATGTTTGTGCCTAGGAGAGTTAAGGGACTGAAAATGTAAGGCCTTGTGTTAGTGCACGTTTTGCCTCGTAAACTTGTTCTCCTGCCACGTACATTTGTGTTGACCTGTGGAGACTCACGTAATGCTTTTTATTCTCTCTCGGCTACCAACTCCCGCTTTTGTCAGATCCACAAAACATGCACAGGACGAGGGTGGCCAACCCTCCAGGATTGTTCTGGAGTATCCAGGAATTACAGATGCATCTTTAATGAAAGATTATGTCCTTTCATGAATACGTTCAACCCCAACCCTGTGTCGGAGGATCTCTCTTTCTATTGCTGCTCTTCTAGAGGTGAAAGAAATTTCTCTGCTGTTATCTGTGGAGTCTCTCATAGCCACACCCTAAGGTTTCTGTTATGACAGTTAACTTAATACTCTTCAACGTTCTTGTGTCTATAAAAAGCACAATACGCTGAGTTCTGTATATGAAAGGACGGGAATGGTTCAGACCCCTCTTGCTCATTTTCCATCCTGCTTCTTTGTGTTTCCTGTGATCTAAGAAGGGTTTCAGCTTGGATCGCAACATTTTGCCTTTTAAACAGTTTGGTTGGTGACTCCATCTTGTATCCACGCTGATTCGCCTTCTATCTAGTCTGAGTATTTGCACTAACTGAGCATTATTTGTGCATGCTCGGGCTTCATAGAGTGCTGAGAAGGAGATACCATGGCAAAAGTGAGCAAAGCAATGGATAAAATCAAAACACGTGTGTCTTAAATATTAGCCCTGGCAGATTGTAGTGGAGTCTGTGCACCAGCACCTCTGTTGCGTGCAATGTCCCTTCATTGCTTTTTCCCTTAAATTCCCTCACATCTTGTCTATCCAGCTGTATATGGGACAAGTGAATAAATAGATAGCGTGTGCATGCACACACGGAGAGAGTCAGCCAAATAGAGTACAGTAGGAGCCGGAGACACACACACACACACACACATAGTGCATACAGAGGCTGGATGAAATGGATGAACCATATGGTTTCTTTTATAAAAACAGGCATATGCATATAAACGTCAATAAATTATGCACATTTTCAAAGAGCAAGTGGTTACCTACCACAATAGGGAGAAAGTCTGTGAGACAGGAGTTTTGTTACAAAACAAAACCAGGAACCATTATTAAACATGGAAAATGTTGGCAGAATATCCCACTGGCACTGGTGCAGAATTGCCTTGTTAATTTTACAACAACGTCTGGCTTTTGTACTTTATCCTGGCACAAAGAGAGAGAGGCCGTGTTCTCGTAGACGGTCAGAGCTTCTCACTTCTTGGGGGAGGTGACAGTTCTGATGAGTTTGTTCTCTTCTTGGCTGGCGTTTAAATGGCAGTCAGCAAGGGTTCCACTTTCATATCCTGACATTTGTTCATGAAGTTAGACTCCGGCCCATGTGTGTTCACAGAGCAATTGAGGAACCTCGGGGAATTTATATTTTAATAAATTCTCAGATGACACATTTTGATTGCGTGGGTGGGAGAGGGTCGTGCAGAATGTCTGAGGCATCATTCAAAGTGCGTTGTACAATTTCAGGTGTGCCTCCCTCTGTTGGATTTTATGTTGCCTGGAATGAGACATGAATCAGTCCTGGCCTGTGATTCTGTAGCTCAGGTAAAGGTGCACTGAGAGCGTACCCTGAAGTGAGTAAGTCACGGTGGGGTGCAAGCTGAAGTTTTTATGGAAGGTGTTTTATCCCCACCGGTGTCCACTTGGCGTAAGAGTTGTAGGATCTGACCCAGTATGCCCCAGGAGATGCGCATTCATCTTGTGCAGCGTCTTTATACAAATGCACAGTACAAGTGAGGACTCGAGAATGAACACGCCCGTCAGTGTGTTGGCTGGTCAAATTGCTCATTAGGGCTGGGGTAATAGAGGGTTCCGTAAAAGCGGCTGCATCTTGATTTATCAAAGCGACTGACCAAGTTTTAATCGTGGAGCACTGAGGCTTCGTCTTTGTATCGGCCGCTTTGGAATCTGCCATAAATCAAGCATTTGGCAAACGCGTTCTCCTTAATTGGACTCCCCTTCTTTCTGTACCATCCGTGATGAGCTCCAGGGCTTTGGACAGGTCTGAGCTGCAGAGAGAGGAGAGCTGGCTAGTCTGCTGAAGCATTAATTACTGCTGTTAGTTTATTTCCAATTGATTTTTATTATACTGACCTTTTGAAAAATATATTCGAAGAGAAGAAGACTCCAGCAATTGAGCCCTTTTACACGGGGTGGGATTTTTTTAAACTTAAATTTATAAGCAATGGATTTGATCCTCCTTCTTTTGAAACCAATGGTAAGTCTGCCCTTCATCTCTGTGGGACCAGGCTGGGGCCCTCGTTTCGAGGGGAAAACGGCGTGTCTGTGTTTCTTCTCTGCCCATTGCAGTAATGACTGCTGACAGTGTCCTGAAGTTGGAGTGCTCTAACACACAGAGATGGTTTGACAGGGTCTGACAGCAGGAGCAAATGATATTCCATAGCTGTAGGGTTTTCTTTTAATTGAGGATTTTCGAACTGGTGAGGGATTGGCTTTGCTGGGGCGGGCATCGGGAAATTGAGGACAAGAGTGCCCCCGAAACCTGGCGAGGTGGCCAAGCTTGCTCACGTCAATGCTGGTGCACTCCCTCTGTCTTGGAGCTAAAGTACAATAAAAACAGAGATCATTAACCATCTGTGGACATGTGACTAAACTGGCCTGCTCCATCTCCTGTCTGGCCTCTCTTGGGTGCTTGGGAAACAGAACTGCAGTGCCGAGATCATGTTGGGGCTTTGTCATAGCAATAAAGGGCATTTTAAGAACAGCCTCTGAATTCAGCACTGTCCAAGATGCTGGATTCTCAGCCTTACAGAAGGAAGTTCTTTTTCCTTGGCACAGGTAGAGCATGGTCAGCAGCCTGCCTCAACTTTAATGGGAAGAAACCATGTCTCGAGCCCCTAGGTCTCCGTGTTTTGGTCCAACTTTGTCTTCTCTGCCGAGCTAATAAGGAGGCCAATTGTGGTAGCTCCTTTCTTTGGTGTGCAAACCTGGCCCCTGCCAATTAGCTTGCCCACCACAGGACTGAGGCCCACAAAGCTACCAGGCAGTGGTAACTTTCAGTCTCTCCCAAGTAGGGGTGGATTTGAACTGGCACCCTAAAGATGAGATTGTCCCGTTTTCCTTTGCGCTCAACTCCTACTC